AGGATTCCTTACATTAAGTTATTATGTAGGTAGGATTCCTTACATTTCCCTTCTCTGTCTCTCTCGTGCGGACGGCCGACGTCCCGTGTAAGCGAACTCTTGTTCGAGTGTCTTAGTTTCTGTTGCTTTTCACCTGTCCCTCCTTGTCACCTGTCCCTCCTTTTCACCTGTCCTTCCTTGTCACCTGTCCCTCCTTGTCACCTGTCCCTCCTTGTCACCTGTCCCTCCTTGTCACCTAGCCCCTGTCTCTTATACACATCTAGATGTGTATAAGAGACAGGGTATATCTGCTAAAATCTGGTATGTTGAGCTGGAAACCAGATATACTCGGAATAAAACAATGGCAACTCTGCACTCACGTCCCGGTCCATATATCTTATGACTTGCATGGCCTTGGCTGGAGCCTTGCAAGGCTGGTGTGAATGGTTCAATAGAAATACATTAAATAATGTTGGACTGGACCGTAAATGGAACGTGCCCGCCATTGTGGTGTGAACCAAGCCTTAGCCGATGTGAGCGTGATAGTTTTCATTCTACTAGACCGGATGTTGGCTTAACACGTGTCCTCCAACAACTGATGTTCATCCATAATACTCACTTTATTCATGCAGTATTTCAGGAGACAATTCATGAAGAAGCTCTTGCCCTTCCTGAAGGCCCCTGCAATAGACACCACGCAGAGGGCAGTATCGCGCACTTCAGGTCTATGTAAGACCTGTCTCTTATACACATCTAGATGTGTATAAGAGACAGCTTTATATCTCTGCCAACCATAATTTTTAGCTCCGTACACAGATTTCTTCTTCAACTCACGGCTCACGCTGTTTATTAAAAAGAGTTCACAACTAGGTATTTTAGAAGGGCTTTTTTCTGGACCAACAAGGAGCAATACCATCAGACAGCATTCGTTAGTCAATACCATCGAAGGCATCGATTCCTGCCATCAAAGTTCACAGAATGTAAACAAATCCAAAGCCTCTGATTGGTCAGTTGGCCAGATGGTTTTGATAGTACGCTTTTAGCTAAGTCTTACATAAGAATGTTTTGATAATGCCAAAATTAGGGTGTACTTACTCAACACGTAACATTTTTGTCAGAAGTACAAAAAGTTACGAAGTTTTGATAATACGGCCCCAGTATCACAGCTAAGGGAACGGATTATTGCAGCAGAGGCCAGAGGTTATGGCCATACCTTGCCATATGTGTGAACATGCTGTAGAAAACTTCTGAGAACAACTCCAATAGAGTGTTGCAGCTAACGGACACATTTTCCTGATATTGTTTTCAAAACATAAGTATTTTGCTCTGCTAATCTTGAGGAAAATAAACTTTCTTCTTTATGTACCTCCATTACTCTTTTATTTTGCCTCAAAACTGTTCAATCAGTTTACCCCACCATGTATAAGCTAGTTATTAGTTAACACATTTTAATTGTATATTGTAATCTATATATAACAAATAGTCAAATAGTTAAAGACTACTTATAGCCTTATAAGAATTTGCTAAGCTGCTAGCTATGTACAATGTATTGCACACTTGATGCCTCTGTACCAAAAACATTCAATTTATTGGAACCGAATACACACTAAAGGCAACATCACAACAAGTTTATATACCAATTGGTCATTTATAGTACATTTATACTAAACCATGAATAGCAATACCAGTACCTCAATATAAATTAAAGAATGCCACTCAATATATTTAAATATATGAAAAAATAAAAATTAAAAAATCATGATTTTTTATAAAAAATTGATTAATTCAGTATTCACATGATTTAATCATTTTGATTTAATCATTGCCAACCCTGGATTTGTGTCATAAGTCATATTTTGTTTACTGGTAAATAATTATCAACCATTATTACCTCAATTAACCAGGCCAACTGTAAAAAATGTAATATAAAGGTAAAAAATATTTCATTTCCAAAAAATCTCAATTTTCATTAAAGTAAATATTTAACATTAAAAAATATGAAATACATGTTTTTTTATTAATTTTCAATGGCTGAGCATGTGTGGCAACAGAAAAAATTGTTTGTTTGAAAAATCCCTTGAAGGGAATTCACTTGATAGATATCCAGATAAAAATTTCATAGTCTGATGGCAAAATTTCAAAAGTTGTTTATTGGTCCACCCTATCATATCAGGTGTAAATGCATTCTTATGGGTGTCCCATGCCTGATTACCCCATCTTGCGCAGCAATGCCACCATTTTTTTATTGAGCTACGTATACAAATTCTGTCAATCACATTTTTAAGCCAGCACTTGTGTGCAACTTTTATGTATGGACAATTTTTTAATCCAGCAAAGATTCGTTTACTACATACTAACATACCTTAGCAGAAGTTTTTTCAAAATCTCGCTTGTCACACTTTTTTATATGGATTTTTTAGAGGTAGTAAATGTATGATTTCTTAACTTGCTTTATGCTACATAGTTGCAATGCATAGTTGAGTTGCAATTAAATTGTGTGCACCACTATTTTGAGTTTTGCAATATTTCTATTAATTTAGCTGCTACAGCATTTCTATGAAATGTTGTAGGACTGTCCCTTATTACCCCATTTGACCCTACTGTGTTTCAAGCATTGGAAGTTGCAAACAAATTTACTAACTGCCTGATCTACAAAGAACAGAAAATTTAAATATTTTGATTATTGTCTGACAGATTTGGTACCTTAATATCAGAATTTTGTCACTGCCTTAATACCGGTAGTATTAATGATTTCCAATGGCTTAGAAGCATCAAGAGTTAACAAACTTTAGCACAATCAATGTGCTGTATATTTTAACCTGATTACTTTTTTCTGTTAGATCACAGAAAAGTAGAGAACTCTTTATCCCAATTGCAAGAAATGTGAAAATTTTTCCAAATATTGAAATTGAAATATTGTAAGTTCATAAAGTTGGTAATGGATGGGTTTGTCCCAGAAGCGCAAGCATTACTTGAGCTTGAAGATAATGCTGGTAGCAACCCAAGCAGAGACAATTATGTGAGTCCACTGGCTTTATCCCAACCCACTCTTCCCATCCAGCATTATGATCCAGCAGGCACCTACAGGACTCCTCATAAACCTTCAGCCAAAAAGAATTATGGCGGATATTGTGAAATTTGTAATCTGAGAGTGAGTGCTTCATCTTTTATGTCTTATGGTAAACATACCTATATGATGTTACTCTTTTCTCTTTTTTTTTATCACAAGGTTTTAATATGAATTAGGGTCCTTCCTCATCACAATAAATTGTTGAGACTTTCTTAGATACTGTACCCTGTCTTGACATTTTTAATGCAAGTTACTTTGAATCTGGAAAAATCTGTTACTTCTCACTGTAAAATACTATTTCAATATTTTCATCATATTCAGCACTAATGGATGCTGACTTCAGCATTAATGAATTTCTCTTCTTGATGTTGCTGTGCAATACAGACCATTTACATACATTAACATAGTGACTAGAAATAGGCTTATTTGCTTCATTACAAGCAGTATAATATTGAAATTTTATCAGTGTTGTTCCTATTCCCAAGGTAATATATTTATTTGTTGTACAGCTCAACTCTTACACACAATCCAAGAGTCATTATGAGGGCAAACCTCATGCCAAGAAAGTCAAGGCCGAGCAGAAGAGGAAGGAGTCTCTCTCATCAGACGGCACTACTGACAATGCTCCCCCTCCTTGTAAAAAGGTGTCTTTAATTATCAGTACTGGTACTCCCTTTAAACCTCCGGCCCTCTCATGCAGCATTTTGTAGCTATTGAATACTAGTTGCTTTGTGTTACATTACCTTGATAAATATTTATATTCTATATTCATTGCATAATAAGGTTACAAAATCATATATTTCAATTTTATAATAAATATTTGCAGGATGAATGTTCCTTTTAAGTTTGGAGAAATGATATAGAATGATAATACTTTTCAATGATGAATTGCTGGACTGATTTACTATACTGGTATACTTTTATCCAGATATGAAATTCTATGCTTGAATGCTTTTGTAGTCAGCTTATGTAAGCATGAGTCTTGCCCATAATAAGGATGAGTTCAGCATGTAGATGCTGTTTATTGATGCTTCATTAAAAAATATCAGTGTACACTGTTCTAATTTTTACAGTTCATAATTGATATTTTGTTGCTGATTAATTAGTAATATTGTCTGTTTTATTGTTTCATGAGGTTTTAAAGTACCGTATCAGTTCATAGCATGTTTTCTATTATTTATATTAACAATTGGTGATTATTTAAAAAATTACTATTATCAGATCAACTTGAATAAATCAAATAAGTAAACAAGAGCTTCCATAGTGAATCATGATGAGCAGCAAGCACGAGATGAGCCGGTGTCGAGGCTGTACTGTGAGCCGTGCAAGTTGACTTTCACGTCAGCAGCTCACGCCAAGGACCATTACCTGGGCCGCAACCATGACCGAGTGCTGCATGGCCTCAAGCCTTTCCAACAGGGCTATTTCAACACCACCACCAACAAGTGGCAGAGGACGTAAGTCATTTATTCATTCTCTCCACTTAGTGAAAGACACATAATTGCTGGAATTTCTTGTTCAGTGTGTAAATATATACTTGAAAGAGATCCAACTTGAAATGTGTGATTTTTTCCAGTAATGTCAAATAATTTGTGAGCCAACTATGTAAAAGTTCTGGGAACCTCCATTTAATTTTGCTCTAAATCTATCTTTGTTTGATATGCCTTTGATGTCAATGGCAACATTTTCTAAGCAATATATGGTGGATGTGTCAATTAATGGGTTAAAATGGGTACAAAATGGGTGCCAAAATTATGCGGTACAAATTAATGATGAAATCAAAGTAGATCAAACACTTGGTATTCCCTGCATTTTTCCTCATCCAAATACTGAGGAATAGTGAAACATTTCCCATGAGAACCTTAATGGGTACCTACCCTACATTATAATTATTATAGTTTTTTTGTCAAGGTTGTGGTCTTTTTATTCAGGCAAAGTACCTGTGGCTCTAAATTAATTTTCTATGAATGAGTCATGTTGCATAGGTAGTTTTCATGCAGTGGCAGCGTGCTAACAATTGAACTATTTTTTTATTGTTATATGAAACAAGCCCAAATTAACATCTCTGAACTGTACTGTGATGTAAAATGCTAGCTGCGCAATTTTTATTGCCCACTGGTATATGGTATAGATTTGATAAATACCTATGACAATATGCAAGAACTGTAACAACAGCATGGGTAATAACAACACAGGCTGTGCAAATTAAAATGGTTGCTGCAATTACAGGCCTCCTGACCCCCGGCTGTCAGCGCAGCTGCTGTCCTCTGAGCCGCCCACCGACATCGATGGCAAGCCCACCCACACGGAGAAGCCCAGAGTGCGTGGCAAGTGAGTGCCAAGAGTGCGTGGCAAGTGAGTGCCAAGAGTGCGTGGTGAGTGAGTGCCAAGAGTGTGTGGTGAGTGAGTGTCAAGTGAGTGCCAAGAGTGTGTGGCAAGTGAGTGCCAAGTTTGCATGGCAAGTGAGTGCCAAGAGTGTGTGGCAAGTGAGTGCCAAGAGTGCGTGGCAAGTGAGTGCCAAGAGTGCGTGGCAAGTGAGTGCCAAGAGTGCATGGCAAGTGAGTGCCAAGAGTGCATGGCAAGTGAGTGCCAAGAGTGTGTGGCAAGTGAGTGCCAAGAGTGCATGGCAAGTGAGTGCCAAGAGTGCGTGGCAAGTGAGTGCCAAGAGTGCATGGCAAGTGAGTGCCAAGAGTG